CTTTTTTTCCTATAGTGTGTAAACAAAAGACTTAAGCAACGAACTTATCAGCTTTTTAGCTGCTTGTAGCATTATTATGTAATGATGAAAACAAATATGGGATGAGATGACATTGTAATAATACTGAAATTATATTTAAACGCTCATTTAGTAATAAATAATAATGATAATAATAATAATAATAATAATAATAATAATAATAATATTTTTTTTTTTTTGGGTTGAGGAGGGGGAATGCCTAACGCATCTTCCCTATTGCCGTCGCAAAAAAAGGTATGTGGGGCTCGCACCCACTAAACCCCCCCCTCGCATTTGGCCGTGTTCCCACCTCGGAACAGCTTTCGCATTACTTCAAGGTGGCGCCAATTCAGCGCAATGCGCTCTCATCTTCTTTCTGCGTCCAGATTACCCAGTTAATTCGTCCAGATCTTGCTTCTTAGATCTGAGAATGTTCTGCACGAATCCTGCGATGTGTTTCCACGTGTCTTCGCTGCCTATCATCTTCGTGACAATATTTTCTGGGTTTATTGCCCCAACAGCTTGTTCCAGGAAGTTCCGCGCAGGTCCGAATTTCTTACAGTGGAAAATGGTGTGTTCAGCACTGTCCATCTCCGCATCTCCATATACGCATCTGGCGTTGGTTCTTTTCCTTATAGAGTGCAGAAAGGCGGCAAAGTAGCCATGGCCTGTCAGCATCTGCGTGACGTAGTAATCCACATCTCCGTGTTTCCTTCCGTACCAAGCTACCAGGTTTGGTAACAGTCTAGCTGTCCATCTTCCCCTTGCTTCGGCTGCCCATCTTTCCTGCCATTGTTGGAGAATTACTTCTCTGGTCCGCTCAATAAAGCCTCTTCTCGTCTCTCCTTCCTGTCTCCTCATATATATTTGTTTTCGTGCTTTGGCCAATAGGTAGATTGGTATGGCGCCTGCAATTACTAGTACAGCAGGGCCGGATACCGTTCGATATGCACTCGCGATTCGTAGAGCCATGGTTCTTTGTACCTCAAGTAGAGGTTTTGACCTGCAGGTTGTCTTAAGGGTGCCTGCCCAGACCTCACACCCGTACAGCATGATTGCGTGATTTATCTCCATTAAGAGTTTCCGCCTTGATTGTAAGGGGCCGCCCACGTTTGCCATGAGTCTGCTAAGCGCCTTTGTAGTCTCGGTCGCCCGCTTCTTCGTCTCTTGTATGTGTGCATTGAATGTCAATTTTGAGTCCAGTCTAACTCCTAGGTACTTTATAACCTTCTGCGTCCTTATTAAAGTCTCTCCAACTCTCATGTCTATTTCTAGAGGGATCCTTTTTCTGCTGACTAAAAGTAGCTCTGTTTTTTCGTCCGCCAGTTTCAGGTCGTGTGAGTTCAGCCAGCTTTTTACGCATGTCATTACTTGCGTCAACATACGTTGTGCGTACTCGGTATTTCGAGCTGTAATGACTGCGACTATGTCGTCCGCGTACCCCACAATAGTCGTGCCCTCAGGGATGTCTAGGTGAAAAATTTCATCGTAGCTGATGTTCCAAAGCTCCGGTCCAAGTATTGATCCTTGTGCCGCTCCTGAAGTTATCTCTATACATTTCTCTCCTGCTTTTGTTTGGTACAGTAGTCGTCGGTTCTCAAGATAGCTCTGTATTATCCGCATCAGGTATCCTGAGATTTGGAATCGTCTTTTCAAGGCATCAATTATGTTGTTCCATTTAACGCTGTTGAATGCGTTTTTAACATCCAGTGTTGCTAGGAGAACTACCGGCCTCGAGAAATGGTTGCCTTGTTGGCTGCTGAGCGCTTGGTTGACGACTTCTTGGATTGCTCCAATGGTCGACCTGCCTGGCCTAAAGCCATACTGCATCGGTGAAAGACCCCCACCTCTTTCGATCGCTGCTGATAGGCGTAGCTTAATCATTTTCTCTAGTAGCTTCCCGGTAGTGTCAAGCATACATAGTGGTCGATAAGCTGATGGGGTTAGGGGATCTCCTTTGCCCTTACTTATGAGAACTAATCGTTGCCTCTTCCAGATGTCGGGGAATTTCCCGCTGGTAATGCAATCGTTATACATATCCAGCAGGATTTGGGGTCTGCTCTCCGCGATCACTTTGAGGACCTCTGCTGGGATGTTGTCGGGCCCTGGAGCCTTCTTCTCTTTTAAGGTTTTTGCCGCTTTCAGTAGCTCGTCCACTGTGAAGAGTTCAATCTGTTCTGCTATTGGTGGAGAAGTTCTCGCTTTACTGTTTGTATGAGTGGGGAATAACGTTTTGACTATATGGTCCATTTGTTCTTCCTCCAGTTCTGGTGTTGTGCTTCTTGTTCTCAGCTTCTTCATCACGATTTTATACCCTAGCCCCCATGGGTCAGAGTTGACGTCGTTGCAAAGGCGTTGCCATTTTTCCGTTTTGCTCTTCCGGATGGCAGCATTTAAGTCCTTCTTGGATTTCTTAAATTCGTCATTAAGTTCTGTAAGAATCCCCCTTCCTCTAGCCCTCGTGAGACGGCGTCTGTTTTTAATACACGCTTCTCTAAGAGCTTTTATCTCTTCTGTCCACCAATACGCTTCTTGTCCTTGTCTTCGAGGATTGCCCTTTTTTGGCATTGCAGCGTTGCAGGCCTGTTTTATGATTGCCAGGTTGTTGCTAACTGCGTTATTACCGCTCTGTCGGTTCTGCCTTGCGTCAATTTCTTGTATCAGCCTTGCCTTGTCTAGTCGGTTAACGTTCCATCCTTTTCTCGTTGGTCTCACTGTAGTCACTTCGTTTTCTGCTATGTTAAACGTTATATAGTTATGGTCGCTTCCGTTGTAGGTGTCGAGGATTTTCCAATCGGAGATCTTGTGCGCACAGTTTTCTGTCACTAGGGTTATGTCGGGGATTGTGCCCTCGTTCCCCACTCGATGGAATGTCGGTATTGCTCCTACATTTTCTGATAGCATTCCGATACTTGCTGCCATATTTAGGACTCTACGGCCTCGAGAGTCAGTTGATGCCATGCCCCATTCTTGAGCCCTTGAGTTAAAGTCTCCTGCTATTATAAGGTTTCCTCCTATTCGCCTGGCGTTGTCTTCAATACATTCAAGTTTCGTCTGGAAAGTCTGAATGTCGTCACTTGGGGTCAAATAGCAGCTGAATATTGTCCAGTTTCTTATTTGTGTTAGGACATGGCATCTTCCTTTTTTGTCGCCCCTGTGTGAAAGAGTGGTAAGGTCGGGGATCCAAATCGCCGCCGTCTTTGTGTCGTCTTCTAGCCAGACGCCTTCGTCCCGTTTCTTATATTGTTCGCTTATGATAACAACGTCAATTTTGTTTTCCAGCACAATTTGGTGCAGCAGGTCATTTGCCGTTCTGCTTCTATGCATATTTGCTTGCAGAACCTTCATGGCTTTCCTTTCCTGGCCACACTGGGGCAATGCGCCGTCCCAGGGAGGTGTCCGACGTCGCTCCTGTTCTCTGATGTACAGATACAGCATCTCGGAGCTTTAGTGCAGGTCTTCATTTTATGACCACTTTCACCACATCTAATGCAGAGGTCTCTCCTATCCGGTCCTTTGCAATCCTTTTGCAAATGTCCCACCCCGAAACATTTGATAATAATAATAATAATAATAATAATAATAACAATAATAATAATAATAATCATAATCATAATAATAATAATAATAATATTAATAATAATAATAATAATAATAATAATAATAATAATAATAATAATAATAATAATAATAATAAATTAATTAATTAATATTTAAATACTCTTTTTTTATAAAATATATGTATAAATAATATTGTGCAATTTTACCCTATTCCAAATTGTTTATTTATTTATTATTTTTCTTTTTTTCAGGTTAGGGAATCGTATTTGTTACTTTAATAATACTAAAACAATAGTGTGGGGAGAATTAGTACAATATGAATTATATATATTTCTTTTTAAAAAATATATAAATATTTCCTATGTTTATAGCTGTCACCTTTATTTAATTTACAAATGCACATTCATAGTTTTACATTCACAGTTTTGCATTTTCCTCTTTGTCAAAGGATATATATAAAATTAAATTCGAAATTCTATAATAACTAAAAAGAGCTATATCTAAAATTTAATGAAAATCTGGTGAAAACTGAAAAAGTTGTAATTTTTAATTTGATTAATTTCTCAAACGTCCCTATGGCAGCTATATGATATAGTAGTCAGATTTTCATAAAATTTTAAACAAAATTCGAGAATAATACAAAACATATCATACATATACATATATATACCTTTCATACATATATATATTTCATCGAAATCTGTTGAAAACTGAAAAAGTTATAATTTTTAATTGTATCAATTTTTCGATCGTTCTTATGGCAGCTATATGATATAGAAGTCAGATTTTCATAAAATTTTACACAACATTTTATAATGATATAAAATGGCTATATCTTAAATTTATCAAATCTGTTGAGAACTGAAAATGTTATAATTTGGTTTGTAAAAATTTTCCGATCATTGCTATGGCAGCTTTGTATATGATTTAGTCGTCCGATCCGGCCCGTTACGACATACATATATATGAGTGAGAGTATTTAGAAGACTAACTAAAAAGTTTCATTCAGAAAGCTTTAAAACTGAGAGATAAGATAAAAAACGGACAGAGGGAAATACACACATCGCTAGATTGACTCGGCTGTTGGCAATGATCAAGAATATATATAGTTTATGTGGTCGAAGATTTTGGCGAAAATCACGATAGATAAAGCTTATATTCGGCTGCATTTTAAAATAATAATAATAAGTCTGCAAAACAAGTAATTGTTTTGTTGGTAGTTTTTTTTTCGTTAACTCTTAATGCTATAAGTGTTAGCTAGTATTTAATATTCATGCACAGTTTACAATATATAATACTTATGTCTAAAAAATAAATTTAAAAACTAATATGCAAATAATCATTTGATTTTTAAAGTGTAATCGATAGTTAAATAAAGGTAATCGATACCACCGACATTCTTCGAGTTCCAACTTGGTATCGGTATTGCGCTGCCATCTCTAGGGCATCAAAGGAATGGATTTTCGTGAAATAAATAGATTAAACTGGCGTTTGCATCTGAATAACAATAACAACCTCGTTCAGTACACTGCGGTCAACAGGTACAACGATCCTGATGCATCGGGCGAACAGCACGGAGAGGAGCTCCTACTCAGACAAATCGATTGTGCGACGGGGGCAACAACAAGAATGGGTACGAAACAAAAACACCCAGCAACAACTCTGGTGCAGGCCGTAGACGCAGAGGATGATGAAGGTGTGTGTGGGGGTGGGTGTGGTATCGGAATTGGAGCAGGCGACTGCGCCGCGGCTGCAATAGTTGCCACCGAATGCGGTAGTGATAAGGCGAGTGTGATTTTCTTATTTTCCCCGTCTATGTGCATGTGTCCCTAACTGTTTGTGGTTATCCCTAATTGTTCTTCGTTTCTGCAGAATGGAGGCGCATCCTACTGCGATTTTGAAATAGACTTGGCTGGTGGATATGGACAGGCAGCCGCAGCTCTCTCGCCCACCGATGCGGTAGGGGTAGGGGTCGGGGGCCTCAGTTCCAGTCGCACCTCTATGAACAATTCAACCGAGAATCTAAGCTATGCCAGTGACAACTTTTACGGCGACGACCTTATTTTGCTGGATGATGACGATGACGTCGAGGCGGAAGAGATATCACTTAACTCTGACGATTGCGTTTACGCCTATCGAGGTGACGGGGCGGATTTCGACCAAGCCCTGGAGGCCAATGCCATGGGCAGGGGCAGGCAACATCAGCAGGAAATCGGCCTTGGGCCTAGCAGCACTGGTGGTGCAGGATGTGGCGGTAGCTTGATATGCGGAGACGATGAGACAGAGTTCCTGGAAATGGATTTTGAACCGGACCCGTCGTCGGAGCTGGAGTTTGCCGGCGGAGGGGCTCAAAATCTGGGATCAGCCTTGCCACAGGCTAATCTACTACTAATGCAGCGCGACTTCAGCCAAATGAGTGGCGTCGTCGGGGCAACACCCACACACGGCAGGCAGCTTTACAGCTCACCTATTGACGATTTTCCGCTGCAAGAAGACATCCTGCAGCAACAAAAGCAACGCCTAAGTAAAAAATTTGCTCGCATTAGCCTAAACTTGGACCAGATCAAAGACGGAGGAGGAAGCGGTGGATGTGGTGTACATATCGACGAGATAATGGGCGGTGGCGATGAGAAGGTTGTGGACACCATAACCGGGGGCGGGCCATCGTCCGCCCAGGCGCACTCGCTGCCAAGCACATTATACGCGAGTGCTAATTTCGCTAGGAGTACCAGTGTGCCCAGCGCCCATCCAGAGCCCAAGTTGACGGGAGCAAAACCCAAACGGCTGTCCCACTCTTCGTCCGTGATGTCGAAAAGCAGCGCTAGTGCCTCTACAAAGTCGCGCCGCTCTCATAACTCCACCAGTTTCGATGAACGTTGTTACAGCTGCACCGATTTTCGGGCCCCCGGCAACCAGCAGCTCCAGCAATCAGTTGCAGCACAACCAGGTGCAGAAGAAGGTGCCGCTACCATGCTTATGGCTGCTGCCGCCATGGTGGCCTTGGCCTCTTCTCCCTCGTCCATGGCACACTTTGACACTAGTAACGAGGAAAACTGCTTGGACTGTCTTGAAAAGGAGTTCCTGGCAAATACCATCGGCAAGGTCCTAGACCCAAGCACGTGCCCGAAGTGCCGGAGGCGAACCGGGGCTCGTGGAAGCTGCATGTCTCTCTACACCCGAGTAGAGCAGACACGATGTCGCAGCGGTTCGCCTGTATACTTCGACGAGGGCGGTAGACTGTTTGCCGGCTGGCATAGCTCATCCGGAGTTGGAAACGTGCCCGATCTCGGTGGCAGCAACCAAAGGTTTATTTCTTGTGATAATAATTTCTCCAGCGGCGTGCAGGTGAGTTTCCCTTTGAAGCTTAAGATGTGTAATTTGCAACGAAAAATGATTATCTTCATTTAACCCGCAGATGCTTAAGAAAAAATTTTCGACCGTGCCACTTGTTACGCGTCTATCCACGGATAGGACGTGCGACGAGGAACACCTAGTGCAGGCATTAGACCATCTGCACGTGTCATATGACCAGGCGCTACTGCGAGGCTATTTTGAACATTTGGTCGCGCGGCGATCCGCCGAATGCAGTTTGAATCTCAAGCAGTTGTTGTTGCAGACCTCAAAGAGTCAAGGAAATCATCGCAAACTCAAAAAGCTTATTGAGCTGGCGACCCATAACCAGCTAGTCGTGCAATTTAAACGGGTTTGTCGACTGCCTTTTGAGAACTTTTATGTTATTTTTCGTAATTAATATTCTCTTTTTTACAGGCCAAGGCATGTCAAACTGATGTTGTCCCCGTCAAGGTGTCTGATATACTGGAGGCCTGGGCATGCAAGCGAGATCTCTCTATGCTGCGGCAACTAGATGCGCGCTTCCATCGCGCGAATGTGATAGGTAAGATTATTATTAATTCCGAGAGGTATCCTTAGTATTCGGTACTTTTAATCAAGCCTTGAAGTTTATTTGATAAAACAAAAACAATTTACAAGAAAGGTCGCATACTGTCCGGGTTTTTGAATTCATTTCATTTTTCTAGTATCTTAGTTAAATAATACGAAATTCATCGAGTTAATGGTAAAAAATATTTCTTAAAAAACGCAACAAGTTCGGTTTACGGAAAATCCCTCTTTATGGTCCATTGAGGAAAGGAACGAATGTGTGTTTACGATTGTTGTAAATGCCCATATGTTATCTAGCATTTATTCAAGATAAAAAAATATTTGTAGACCAATGAAATAATTATAAACGACGTTCTGCATCACTTTTCCTATATAATGGATTGTCCCAGAACTTCCGCAGAAGAACTCTACATGCAGAACTCGCAATTTCAAAAATATTGATTTATTTGGAAATGACAAATGTTTGAACCAAAAGTTGTCAAATATTTGATATTTTTGATTGAGCTAAAGTGTGATACAAATTTCAAATAGTTAAGATTTCAGAAATAATAAATCAATCTAAACAGCCTAATAAATTTTAAAAGATTAAAAAATCTATTGCAAATAAATTCTACTATGGTGTTGCCTTTACGGATTCGACGTAAAGGTGTCACAGATAAGGTATTTGTTGCTGGGGGATGGTAACTTATTTTGTTCTGCTGTTCTTGTGTTGAAAGAAAAAATGCTCCTATTGTTTTTATATGTATTTAAATAAGTTACTTTCCAAGAATGTCTGGTGACTGCATCCTCCTAAAGCTGCTGTAAAGAACTCGCTCGCAATTCGCGCGTTTAACTTGGAGGTTTTTGCTGGTCAACAGTTTCCCTGGTCTACATTATAAATGTTGGACCCTTTAAATGTTGACATGCCCGTCTGTCTATTTCTATGCAAAATAATCTCTCAGGTCTTAAGCAATCTAATTAAAGCTGGTCTGCTTTCTCTTCTTATTATTGTATATCTAAGCCAGAATAGGCCTGATCAAAAGATTTGAAAACTATTTGATTTTCTAAATATTTCATCTACTTTGAGATATGGTAATTTTGTATAATTCTAGAATGTTAGTATTTTATAAAAATCTGATCTGTGTATACAAAAGCACAGGAAAATGAGGAAAAGTTCGGTGTTTTAACTTATAACTGTTTTATATATATATTAGTTTTTTTCATATGAGAGACATGTTTACATTTCTATTTTAATTTGTGTTTTTTTCTCGGCTTTCAGGCAAGGTCGGTCACATAGTGCGGCAAGCTACAGCGGCGAACCCCTCAACGGCTCTTGGTGCATCCTCCTCTTCAACATTCAAACGCGTCTTGCCCGAGTTTCTTATGATCCCGCAGTATTACGAGAGTGGGGAGCTGACGCTAACCCGCAAATGTTAGAATTAACTCGCCGCATGCTCACTTCCAGTACACAGATATGCAACCAGAACATTGAATTGTTTATACTTACATATGTACATATGTACTATGTTAGTTTGTTTTTTGTTAAGTTACGTAATGAGAGCAACATTTGGGAGTGTATGTACGGTGTACCCGCAAGGCCCAAGACTGGGACAAAACAGCTCCTAAACCATATGATTACTGTTAAATAAACAATATATTTTAGTATGTGTACGTTTATCGAATAACCAGCATTGCAATATTTATGTACTCTCATTATCCATGTATGTATATGTCAAGCAACAAATACCCCGTCTCGTACATGCATAGCTTAGCTTGTATACAAGGAATATAGATCTGAATAAATGATAAGTATCTAATTTACCACCAAGTACACCACAATTTAACCTAATGCGCAGTGTCAACTGCTGGTGGACCCCAACTCCAAAGAATTTATGTTGGACAGAGGAAATTTTGTTTTTAATAAAATTGTGTTTTATTAATTATTAACCTTGCATAATCTGTAAGCCGATAATAATCTGATCTAGTATCGCTGCTGGCGTGCGCCGGCATTGTAATAGCCCCCGCCACCGGGTCCAGGCGGTAGAGTGGCAGGAGGTATCGGCGGAGGAGGGGCCACTGTCGCGGCGCCATAGTGCGTTAACAGCGGCTGCTGCTGGACGCCCCAGCCGGGAGCGCCGGGGTAGGGGGCATAGGCACTACTGGTGGTGGCGGTGGAGGAGGAGCATGATACAGATGATAACCGCCTGTTCCCTGACCATGTGGAAGGGACGGCATAGAGTCGCTAGAGGAACCCAAGCCGGGCACTGCGCTGGCCAGCGACTTTATGATCTGAATATTGTTGACATCCAGCAGGCTACCATTGCCACTGACTGCAGGTGGAGGTGGTGGCGGTTGTGCTTGTGCGGCAGGTGCTACAAGGCCTCCAGACTGACTTGTCGGCTTGCCCAGCGTGGGACTATCCGCCCGACTGGGGGGCTTCTGGGGCGGACTACCAGGTTGGTGGGCCTCCTTCTGGGTGGACTGATATAGGTCTAGCACCTGGTGGCAAATGTCTTCCAGTATTTCCATTGTCACGTCAGAGACGAACATGTCCCACCACCGCTGGTGCTGCGGCTGACGGCCGTCCCAGTCCTGCACGGTGAACTTGCTGAGCTTGCTTGCCAGGTGGATGAGTGCCACAGCAATTATCTCTGGCTCCCACTGTAGGCAGACCACGGTGCTAAGCGAGTCGTTAACAAAATTCCACGCCATCTGGACCATCTTCTGAAGCTTTTGCTGGTCTCCTTTAAAGCATTTAGCGTACTTGAGCAGGAACGTGTACGGATGCTCCACCTGCAGGTCAAATTTTATAGTCTGCAACAGGATTCGCTCTAGCGTCATCACTTCCTCCTTGGGATCCTCACCGAAGGAATAAAAGTAATTGTCACTTAGTATTCCGCGCGCCGTTTTAATAATGTCGCGACACTTTTTAGGCGTTTCCTCAACTTTGCCGGCGAAGAAAAGGCAACAGCAGGCAGTCACATAGCGTGGAAAGCTTCGGAACGAGTGGAACATGTAAAAGCGGTGAAAGTACACTACGCCGGTGGCCATTGTGTTGTGGCCCAGGCCCATTTTCGTGCCACACTCCATAATAAAGCGGGCGCCTTCTTTTCGATAGCGCCGCTCAGTCTCGAAACTGATTCCGTCTAGGATCGAAGGTGTCTCACGAAGTTCCTTTTTGTCATAGTACCAACACGGCATGTCGTCGGCCGATAAGATTTTCTTTTGTGAAAATTTGTGTTAGGGGTGCAACAATGTCAGCAAAGTTAGCATGACAAGGACGGGGACGGAGCTCAGCGTGTCCTCCGATGTGAAGTTTTAAATAATTGAATAAATTCTATCCCTTGAATTGTAAACTAATTACTGTTTACAATTTTTTTCTTTCTGTATTCGCAGAATTAGAGGTGGACGTTTTTGGGATAATCGATGTTTTCCTGAATTTTACTGAATATCGATACTTTAGTATGTACAGGGAAACAAAAATATATAAATATCTGAATATCGATATGCAATATGTTCTCGGTTTTAACAATCAAAATATTTTCTAACACTGAACGAAACAATCAGCTGAAAATACTTAAAAACCATGATGATCAGCATGAAAGAACCATGAATATCATGAAGAATAATAAAAAGGAGGAATGCAAAGAGGAAGTATAAATTAATGGTATTGAAATCTGTTGCAACCTTAGTTATTTTTTAAAATTAGTTATTATTTACTAAGTATCTTTATTTCTTATTATTTTTTTTTTTTAAATAAATTTGACAACCAGCCCTTTTAATGCATTGCAACGTCCTAATACAAAATCCTGATCCGATTTTTGAAAAAACAATTTTCGTTCCCGTTTAAAGGATAAGTATTGCAATTTAGTTAGCTTTATTTTACCCTGCATTTCCCATGAAACATTTAGAATACTGTCTAGTCAGGATCTGTCCAGGAATAGGTACATATGTATGTACGTGGGGTAAAAGTTAATCTATTTAGCTGAGAAAGTAATTAATGTATGTCAAAAAAAAGAGTCAAATTCCGCATAGTAGCGAGTCAATCCCAACGGGATCGCTTAAATCGCATGAGCACGGGTTGAGATCTGCAATGACGTTCAGAAAGCTTTCATATATTTAAGGCACATGCATTGTGGGCCCGATTCTTTCTACCACTGGCTTCTTCACGATCGCAGTATGTGATCTGCAAGTAGCTTAACCAGTTTCTTTGTTCACCTCATTCTCAGCTTTTACTTGGTCGTTTTTTCGCCGCCGGTTTCCCTTACTCGGCGTTCTCTCAAACGCGTCCAAGACACGTTTGCAGCTCCGGTGCGCTCCGCTCAGTCGCTCTTCGTACGTTGCCATTGCCAGTTTACCAGCGGGGATCGCGCTCTCTTGGCCAACCGCTTGGCTTGTTAACGTTAACTGTTTTGTCTACTTGTATGTATACTGGCAAGCTTTAGCTTTCTTGCCTCTCTCTGGCATAATCCGTGTTCGGGCTGCGTTCATCTTTCGCTACAATTGTACACACATACAGAAAAAGTAGTTCCAAGTGTCAGAGAAACCATCATCACGACCCAACACAATTACAAAAAATAAATAAATAAGAAAACAGAAGAAAAAAATAAAACGGGCAGCGTAGGAAAAGTGCTTACCTTTTCATTTTTATGTATGTACATATATATATTTACAAAGAAAACACGTTCAAAAAGAAAAAATACAAAAGTTGCCCTGAGAAAAGTTATAAAATACCAAAAAGGTTATGCAGATATCTCCCCTAAACTCCCACGCTGAACTTTTACCTCACTTCATACATATGAACATACATTCATACATATGTATGAATAATGCATGTTGAATATCTTCGGATCACAATTGGAATACTTTTTACGTTATACCCTAGTCTATAACGCTAAATAAGTAAGTACGACTATACGAATTTGCTGCGTCAGTATACAAATTGATAAAAAGATTTTTTTTTGAGAATAAACTAAAATTAAATGTTATCTGTTAACGGTGCCACTTACCAAACAATAAGTAAAGACAGGAAGTTAAAAAGTGATCTATAATTTATAATCTAATGCACATAAATATGTACATAATTACATACATACATACAAACATACATGTTTTTGTTTTTCGGTTAATCTGTTATTTAGGATATATCTCGTACAACTAATTTTAAAAATTTAATCGTAGATCCAATCAGCCACGTACTCCGCCTTTTGCCGATCATCTTTGGTTTCGGTTAATTTTGTGTACATTTATTATCGATGTTCACCACCGTTGCAATAGTATCAATTTTTATACCCTTGCAGGGTATTATAATTTCAGTCAGAAGTTTGCAACGCAGTGAAGGAGGCACCTCCGACTATATAAAGTATATATATTCTTGATCAGGATCAACAGCCGAGTCGATCTAGCCATGTCCGTCTGTCCGTCAGTCCGTTTCTACGCAAACTAGTCTCTCAGTTGAAGAGCTATTTGAATGAAACTTTGTAGCTAGTCTTCTACGTACTCTCACTCGTTTATATGTCGGAAAGGGCCGGATCGGACGACTATATCATATAGCTGCCATAAGAATGATAGAAATATAGAGGGAAAATGCAAATCTGTGAATTTAAAACTGTAAATATAATATGTATTTGTGAATGAAATGAAAGCAGGTATTACCTTATTGTTTTTTAACATAAATATATATAATTTATATTGTATTGATTCCTAGTCATCGGAGTTCTATCTGCAAGGGTAAATAAATTTCGACGTGCCGAAGTTAGCTTCCTTTCTTGATTTTTGTATGTATCTGCGAAGCACGCCTCCTTCTTCGCCTATAAATATGTTATTTTAAAATTTAAATTAAGGAATGAACAACAAAAATAATAATAATTTTTATTGTAATAAGTAACGATTGCGTTCCATAAAGCTGACAAACAAATTGAAATTAAACGATACAATTGGATTTAATGACTTACAGAATGACTCAACTTACAAATATCTTCGAGTCACCGCTTAGGTAATCTCTACGAATTATAAATTAATCGAACCGTTGGATCTCATTTTCTCCTGATTCTCGAATAATATAAATGGGTAAAAGATGAGTCGAGATTGCAAAGAACATCGACTGATTTTAAGTATATGAACACATACATATGTACATATATTAATTCGCAATATAGTACATAAAATTTGAATGAAATAAAGCGTTATAATACAAAATGTATGAGAAAATGGTGTTGTACCACTACTTTTTACCACATGAAATATGCTTTGTTGTTTATTTCGCGAGTTGCTTTAAATTTTACTGAGGGTTTGTTTCACAATATGCTAAAAATGTAGATTGCGTGGTGCTTGCATTGTTTTTGGATCGGCTTTGTTGCATGTTGCAAATCGCATTTTTCGCCGTAACACCAACAGACTCTCGGAGGCTTCGTAGCATGAAATATTAAAAAGCTAGTAAGAAAGTTGCAGTCGAGTATGCACGACTGTGGAATACCCGTCACCTAAAACCTTGTGCTTTAAATAATACAAGTACAAAGACAAGAAAGGAAACTTACTTTGAGTAGTCGAAGTTTATATACCATTGCAGTTTGCAATTGAATTATAGAATTGAATCGAAAATTGATCATAATAAAAAAAATTGCATTCTTTAAAGTGCTATTTGTTTATATTTTCAAATGGCCATTTTTTCGATAAATCAAAGTTAAACAAATTCATAACAAAGCGGAAAAAGCACACTCGATTTAAAATTTATAAAATATTGAACGATTTTGTTAATTCCGAAAATGACTAGATCGACTCGGCTGTTGATGCTGATGAAGAAAAGTCGAAAAAGGCTATTTTACGACGTTACGAACTTTTGACTAATATTATAATACCTTGTAAAGGTAAAACAACAATGGAAACTAACTCCAGTAGCCCGAATATTTTACACCCTTGCAACTATTACAATAACACTTGGGAACTGTTATTGAAACTTAAACAAAAATCAATGTATACATATTAACATTTTACAGTTTTTTTTATTTCTTCAGGTTATTTTCTCATTAATATTCTCCATATTTTCAGTGAATGAAAATGTTTGGAAACACTAGAAAACTTTCATTTTTTCTCTAAAAATGTCCCGATTATGGACATACATAACATACATATGTACATAAATGTGTACTTGCCACTTGCAAACTTCTGACTGAAATCATAAGAATTATATAAATTACGATAATATGATAATTACGAAGTTTGTCATTGCGCCTATACTTTTCCTATCCATTTTCTGATCGTAGCTATGGAAACTATATAGAAATATATAACATTTTAAAGTGGATTTTTATATTTGTGTAGATTTTGTACTGTTCGTTTCCAATCGTCGATTGTTCAAAATAATGCCTGATAATAAAATATGCCTTTTTTATACCCTTGCAGGGTATTATAATTTCAGTCAGAAGTTTGCAACGCAGTGAAGGAGGCACCTCCGACTATATAAAGTATATATATTCTTGATCAGGATCAACAGCCGAGTCGATCTAGCCATGTCCGTCTGTCCGTCTGTCCGTCTGTCCTTCTGTCCTTCTGTCCGTCTGTCCGTTTCTACGCAAACTAGTCTCTCAGTTTTGAAGCTATCTGAATGAAACTTTGCAGTTAGTCTTCTATATACTCTCACTCGTATATATGTCGGAACGGGCCGGATCGGACGACTATATCATATAGCTGTCATAGGAATAATCGGAAAAGTTTTACAAAAAAAATTATAAAATTTTTAATTTTCAACAGAATTTGATCAAATTTGAGATATAGCCATTTCATATTATTCTGCAATTTTGTGTAAAATTTTATGAAAATCGGACAGCTATATCATATAGCTCCCATAGGAACTATCGAGAAATTAATACAATTAATAAGTATAACATTTTCAGTTTTCAAGAGATTTTCATCAAATTTGAGATATAGCCGTTTCATATTATTCTACAATTTTGTGTAAAATTTTATGAAAATTGGACTAATATATCATATAACTCCCATAGGAACGATCGAGAAATTTGAGAGGAATGAGAATGGCGGTGGCTGTTGTCGGAAGACTGACAATCGCGGTGGCGATAACATTTTTAGTTTTCAACAGAATTTAATCAAATTTGAGATATAGCCATTTCATATTATTCTAAAATTTTTTGTAAAATTTTATGAAAATCGGACTACTATATCATATAGCTCCCATAGGAAGGATCGAGAAATTAATACAATTAAATTTATAACTTTTTAGTTTTCAGCTGATTTTCATCAAATTTGAGGTATAGCCATTTTATATAAGTCTTAAATTGTGGCAAATTTCATAAAAATCGGACGACTATATCATATAGGTGCCATACAAACGATCGTTTGATGTAGAGGAAAAATGCAAATCTGTAAATGTAAAACTGCAAATATAATATGTATATGTGAATGAAATGAAAG